TAGAAATGCCATGGATTTCTTGGCGTTAATTTTGTATCCTGCTACATTGCCAAATTCATTTATTAAGTCAATTAGTTTCTTAATGGAGTCTTTTGGGTTCTTTATGTACAATATCATGTCATCTGCAAATAAGGATAACTTTACTTCTTCTTTTCCAATTTGGATGCCTTTTATTTCGTCCTCTTGTCTAATTGCAATGGCTAGTACTTCCAGTACTATGTCAAACAGGAGTGGCGAAAGTGGGCATCCCTGTCTTGTTCCTGTTCTTAGAGGGAATGGTTTTAGTTTTTGCCCATTGAGTATAATGTTGGCTGTGGGTTTATCATATATAGCTTTTATTATGTTGAGGTATGATCCTTGTACTCCCACTTTGTTAAGAGTTTTTATCAGGAAAGGGTGTTGGATTTTATCGAATGCTTTTTCTGCATCAATTGATATGACTATATGATTTTTATCTTTCAATTTGTTTATGTGATGTATCACGTTTATTGATTTGCGGATATTGTACCATCCTTGCATTCCTGGAATAAATCCTACTTGGTCATGGTGTATGATCTTTGTGATGCTCTGCTGGAGCCGATTTGCTAGGATTTTGTTGAGGATTTTGGCATCTATGTTCATGAGGGATATTGGCCTGTAATTCTCTTTCATTGAGTTGTCTTTATCTGGTTTTGGTATTAGGGTGATGCTGGCTTCATAGAAGGAGTTTGGAAGTGTTCCTTCCTCTTGAATTTTTTGGAAAAGTCTGAGGTCACTCCTCGTCTTAACAGTGGAAGCCAAACCTTATGTAGTGAATCCAGGAGGAAGAGCACTGGACTTTACAGAGCTAACGCCAAGGCCTGAGTCAGAGCCCTCTGAGCATGGCTGTCAGAGACTGTCCAGGCTGGACTAGCGTTGTAGGTGGGGTGTCCAGATGTGCTCCCGCCCCCTAAGCTGCTCAGCCTTGCAGGGACGGGTCACTGCCCGTGCCCTCTGTGGGCATGCTCCAACCAATCACGCAGAGTTTCTCCTTCATCTTGAAACCATGGCAGAGCTTCAAAGGGTCGGGATGGAAATCTTGGCGAGAGGCAACAATCCACCCATCAACCACACATCAAATACAACCTGCTCAGATTTTGGCCTCCCCTCCTATTTGCTGCATGGGTGCTGCTCATGTGACTGGGCACAAAGAGCCTTCTGGCTCTGGTGGGGGGCGGGGCCTTGGTGGGGCTGGGTTGAGACTGATGGATGAGCTCGCTGAGCCTGAAAAATCATAGTGACTGTGTTGTTGTTGTTTTTAAACACAGCGATACTCTGCAGAATTCTGCAATGGATATGAGAGAACAGAACTTGAGACAAAGGGGTTCTAGGGAGCCGAGGCATACAGCTTTACCTGTCAGAGATTGTCCAGGCTGGAAAGAGCAGTTTGGAAAAGGAGAATATAGAGAGCACTGGGCTAGGCGTCAGCTGATCCAGAGCCTCCAGTGACCTTCTGTCTCCCCGGTTAGTGGTGGCACCAGAGCCACCAGGCAGAGGGCACCAGTGGAAAATTCCCAGCTCCGGTCACCTTATGGAGAGAGGCATTCTTGATTATGTGGCTCAGAGGTTTCCAAGGAGAAATGGAAAAAGAAAAAAGTGCTTTAATCCTCTTCTCCGGTCTGGACAGTGGTGTGAGTGGCAGGAGCTGGGTGGAGAGGACTGACCTAGATAACCCTGGTCCAGATCCATAAGCATCAGAAGCCTCCGATTCAGCCACTGGCACCACAGCTTTCTCCCCAGAAAGTGCGATCCTACTGGTGACGCTGACGTAGCCAAGTTACAAAGATGGATTGGAAGAGAAAGTGGGTAAAGCTGTATGCCTCGGATTAAAAAGAAAAAAGGAAAGGACTCTGATTCACAACTGTTAGCTTGCTGGCAACCAATCCATTTTCTCGGATGGGGCTCGCTCTGAGGCCGGGGCTGCTGGAAGGGAAAACAAAGCCCCTGGCTTTCACTCATTCATTCAACAACCGCTTCATGAGCGTCTGCCACGTGCCAGCGCCGTGCCAGCTGGTGAGGCATGGAGGTAAAGACAACTGCCCTTGTCTTCGTGGAGCTGTTGACATAACTATGAGCTAGCGTGATCTGGAAACCCCACAGACCAGAAATCCGCACAGTGGGTGGGGTGTGGAATGCTCAGGAGGGCCCACGGGAGAAGTCACGTTTGAGCTGACCTCTAAAGAGGAATAACTGGATGCTCCCCAGGGGAGTGGCACAGAGGCAGGGAGGACAGGAGACTAGAAAAGACAGAGGGCCATGCTAAGACACTGGGCTTCCTCCCAACCACTGAAGGGTTTTACTCAAGGCTAGCCTGACCAGTATGGCTCCGTGGTTGAGTGTTGACCTATAAAGCAGGAGGTCAAAGTTTGATTCCCGGTCAAGGCACATGTCTGAGTTTCAGGCTCGATCCCCAATGTGGGGCAAGCAGGAATCAGCTGATCAATGAAACTCATCGATGTTTCTCTCTATCCCTCTCCCTTCCTCTCTCTAAAATCAATTTAAATATATATATTTAAAAGGCATTTGATTGCACTTGAACAAAATAAAATCTAAGTGTCTTAACATAGCCCCATCTCCCTATCCAGTCTCCCTCGAACCATTGTTCCTTATTTCCACTGGCACCATGCTGGCCGCCTTCTGATTCCTCATTCGTGGCACCTCAGGGCCCCATCCATGCTGCTACCTCCTCCCCCAGCTCTTCCTGTTCTGTGGGTCTCGGCATGTCATTTCCTGCAGTACGTTTTTCCCGATTCCATCCTTTTACGTTCTGTTTCCCTGTGTGTACTCATTATTATTTCGTTACTGTTTGGCTCGCCTGCTAGACTGTGTTCTGAGGGAAGGGACCCTCAGCGTCTCTTCTGCCCATTGCCATGTTACCATCTTAATACTGAATGTCACACTCACTGAATATTTATTCGACGAATGACGATTCTCCTCTCATTTCCTTGGTCAAACTGCATCCAGAAAAGAATACCAAGGCCCAGAGAAATTAATGACTGTGAAGCAAGAAGTCCAAGTTCCTGGAATGCCTGCCCAGCGGTGGTTCTTGGAGCGCGAAGCACAGGGAAATGAGTAAGGCACCGCTGAGCAGAAAGGGCTGGCTGATTTCCTCATTAGTATTCCACGCTTGTCCCGAGACTTTCCACGAACCAAGAGGGAACTCCCGGAGTACAGGCAGGACTACCCCAGAGCAATTGAAGAGGAAGAGCTGAAATTAGTTTTCTGGCAACACTGCCGTTCGGGAAGCCCCGAGCTCCCAAGAGGCCAGATGTGCAGGAAGGACAGTGGCATCCCAAGGCCTAAAGAGCCACGGGCGTGACGGGGCCACAGCTCCACCCACGTGCTGCACCATGCTCTGCATGATCCCTGAAGCCCCATCGTCCTGGCCAACTGGATGTGAAACCACGGAAACCGCTCCTCTGTGCCGTGAGACGGGGCGGCCAGCTTTCTCCTGGGCTTTGAGGTGACCTCAGCTGCGGAGCCACGCCAGCCATCAAGCAGCGGGCTCGGCATTTGCTACCCTCAGGTTAGGCCTTTATATCCGAACGAATCCCAAAATGTGAAGGTGAGAAAACAACAACCCTGAACCACATGGGGAGCCCAGTTTGTGCAGCGGTGGGATTTATTTTTAACGGGTTTATTTATTGTGTCTTAAATCAGCCTTAATGAGTCTCAGAGAAGAGTTTCAAGGTTCACATGTTACGGCTCAAGGACGAGTCTGGGGCCCTGGGCCCAAACACACTGTGATTGGCTGCATGTTGCTAAACAACAGAAACAGCCCTGCATCCGCTGTCCTTGCAGGTCTGGGCCTTATTTACAAGGGGATCACCCGAGTGCCTTCTGCAGCCATCAATAAAGCACTAACGGGATATAAACGATGGCTTGCACCCACAGTCAAGTAAAAAGGTCGGGCTGAGGTGAACAATGGATTCTATTAGGGTAGAAACTGTAGAGAAGAGAGTCTTTTGAATTTATTCTCAGACAAGACAGAAAAAGGAGAAGCCCCATGAAAGTGCTTCCCGCTTGGAGAGAGAAAGGTTCCCTGCTGACAGGTGCTGCCCAAGCTCTAACGTTCATTCAGAGGGGACTGAGTGGGCATTTTCTGTGGGTGAGCCCCCAAAGATACAAATGAAACTCAGCCCCTCCCTCACAGATGGGAGACAGGTTATGCAGAAGCCTGGAAAAACAGGAAGCCAGAAGTAAACACTGGTTTTTGTTTTAAATCCTCACCCGAGCATATGTTTATTGACTTTAGAGAGAGAGAGAGGAAGGGTGGGATAGGAAGAGAAAGGAAGAGAGAGAAACATTGATATTCCATCTGTTGCTTTCCATACTTGCCCTGACCTGGGATCGAACCTGAAACCTGTTTTGGTGTACGGGTACGACACTCCAACCAGCAGCCACCCAGCTGAGGCAGTAATTGCTGGGGTTTTTTTTTGTTTTGTTTTATAAAATCCTCACTCAAGGGTATTTTTTCCCCCATTGAGGGTGGAAGGGAGAGGGAGAGACAGAGAGAAACACCAATGTGAGAGAGACACATCAATTGGTTGCTCCTGCATGCCCCCGAACAGGGCCAGGAGCCTGCAACTGAGGTACGTCCCTTTGACAGGAATCGAACCCGGGACCCTTCAGTCCACAGGCTGATGCTTAACCCACTGAGCCAAACCGGCTACAGCAGTAACGGCTGTTTTTTAAGAGAGACCAGTATGTTGGGTAAGTTTAGCTTTGTGAGTATTTTGCTGCCCAGAATGATGGCAGAATTGGGGGGATAGGAAGACTACACTGAAATTGTGTGGCAGCCAGGGCCAATGATGGGCCCTGAGGAGGTGGGATTTCATGTTGAGATACGCAATTAAGAAGCCAGCAAAACGTGAAACCAGACTAAATGAACACAAAGACAAATGGAAGGCTCCAGGTTATGGGGGACTTAATAATTCTTAATGAATGAATCTCTTCCACATGCCATCCCATCGACTGCTCACCTCAGATTCTTTGTAGTAACGCTCTGGAATTTCATCGCAGGCAATATCAATAAAGCAAACTTCTCTCTCGAGGTCTTTGGCTTCGCTGTCAAAAATCTGAAAGAGCAGAGCAAGAGATCGAAGGTTAGTGATACCAGGTGATAGCTTCCAGGTGCCCGCTGGCAGAATTACAACCTACAGAGCATCTTCACATGGCTCGGAGCCCCTGGCTCATGCCTTCTGGGGCCTCAGAACTCACAGGAATCATGAAAGGCTTTTAGTCACTGCCCGTGTTTATCACATCAGAGGCAGGTGTAGCATCAATCACCGCTGGGTAGAAGAAAATGAAGGTTGTTTTTAGAAATTCAAGACTGAAGACATACATCTTTTTCCGAAATGTCTGCTGAACAGGGGGAGTGAAGAGGCTAAAAAGGATCTAGCTAGATGAGACATAAAGCAGTAATACAGCCAAAGATTTAGGGAATTAAAAAATGTGTTTTTTTCCCCCCCATTAAAATTTTTATATCTTCCTAATTTCACAAAGAATGCATGCTCACTGTAGAAAATACAGATAAATAGAAGAAAGTGTGTGTGGGGGGCAATGGTATATGTACAGAGATAATAATTTAATAAAAAAAATTAAAAAAAAAAAGAAGGAAGTACAGATCTGGGTAACAACCCAGTTACCCAGGGATACACACAGGGTTATCCTTGATCATGTGAGAGCATGGTTTCCTCAGTGCACAGAGGGGTAGAAAGGTAGAACCTTAAAAAGATACTGAGATGACTTCCCGCCAGTCTACTTTAGGTTTCATGGCCCACAATGACCATCACTTGCAGATAAATATGTAAGACAGCTACATATACAGACATACATTTTGGTGGAAAGATTACATTCCTCTAGTTTTTTCCAATTGCCATTTTTCTAAAGTGATCACCTTCCCAGCCCTTCTGAAGGATCTGAAGGATGGTAAACAAATTAAGTTTGCAAATATATCTATCTATCTATCTATATCTATATCTATATCTATATCTATATCTATATCTATATCTATATCTATCTATCTATATATATTTAGTGATTTCAGAGAGGAAGGGAGAGGGAGAAAGAGAGTGAAACATCAATAATGAGAGAGAAACATTGATTGGCTGTCTCCTACATGTTCCCTACTAGGGATTGTGCCCACAACCTGAGCATGTGCCCTTGACTGAGACTCTTGAGTCCGCAGGCCGATGCTCTATCCACTGAGCCAAACTAGCGAGGACCATCCTTGTAGGTTTTAACTATCCTCCCTACTCCCCCCCCACCCCCATTTTTACAGTTGAGCTAATTCCAGCAGGGGAACCATCCGTTAACACTAATTAAATCTGACTCTTCAGAAGGGAATGAAATATTTGGGAAGAACAGGGTGGTTGATGCCTAAGAACATTGTCTTGACACACACATTTGGTGCCTATTAATAACACCATCTCCCAGGAGGGCAATGGCAGGCTTCTTTGCATGCTACTCTCCCCCTGCTTTGCTTCTCAAGTTTAAACGATTAGTCCTTTCCAAATGCTTTCTGAATAATGTTGGTGCTCGTAATTATCCTCCAAGTCTGCTGTTCGCTCTGTTGCTAATTTTCTCCTAAATCGCTTGGAGACTGGACTCTTTCAGATTTGTTCAAGGAGATTAATCCCATGGACTGACCTGAGGTGATCACTGCATTTTCCTTAGAGGCAGAGAAAGACTGGCTCCTGAATCAACTCTGATCCCTTCCACTGCCATGGAGAGCCAGGTGCTTCAGGACATGCCCACAGTGGACAGCTTAGGAATGAGAGACACGGGGGGCGGGGGAGGGCAGGTTCAAGGCCAAGTGGAGAAATACACTGTGAGATGAGACACTGGGTCCTAGGTTGTTTTTGTGAGTGCTTTGCCTCTCCCTTTCATGCACCCTTTCATGCACGAGTCTCTTTTAAGTGTGTGCCAAGAGAAGAAAGACTCGTGCCTCATTAAGACAACAAACCAACTCGGAATCCCCCAGAGGGAAATGAGCTTCTGGAGAGTAAATTACAAAAGAAGTGAGAAGTGGGACATTTATTGGTAGTAAAAATTTATGGGACTGAAAGAAGGGGGCATAAACAGGGGGTAAGGTTAGTTACTGACGATTATGTGGCTTTTCCTACTTTAATTCAAACGTTTTTGACCACCCGTTTTAGCAGTTATCAGATCGTTGCCTCTCAGCTCCAAGTTTACCCTTTGGTTTCTGCTTGGTGATAATGGCCTGGACCCTGTAGGCACTTCTTTGTAGCAAGTACAACATCAAGCTGTGCACTCAGGCACTCCGCAGGGAGAAGGAGGCTTCTCTTCCTGGTTTGGATCTTACTCCTTCCTTGGGTATTTCTCTTCCCTTACGAGGAGAGTATTACTATTCCCAATTTGCAGATGAGAAAACCAAGGTTCAAAGAACTAAAAAGCTTTGCCTGAGGTCACACAGCCAGTCGGCAGGGAAGCTCCTATCCAGGGCATCTCTAGTCTTCACCATTAGGCTCTGCCCACTCTTGATAAAAGGCTGCCTTTTGGCACCCACCTGAGACGATATATATCAGTCAAAAGCGCTTCCTGCTTCTTTCCAGAAAGATGAAACTGGAATCTGGTTTTCCTACTGCTATTTATAAAATGCATGTCCCCAAAGACTTGGAGCTCTTCTGGTTGTTGAGGAGTTATGCTGCAGTAGAATCTATGTTGGGACCCTTTGGTTCAAACTCTGGTCTCCTTCATTAATGTGACACTTAACTTCTGCATCATAGTCAATGAAATAGCAAGCACCTTTGCACTACACCTTTCAGGGTGGGGTTCCCACTGCCTGAACAAAGCCACAAAAAATCACTTTGAGGACTTCAACATCCTCTTCAGGTTCCAGATACAAAAGTCATAATTTCCAGTAAATAAGTAGTCTCCCAATGATTAGAGATTTTAGGAGATGTTTAAAAAAATATTGATTTTTTTATAGAGAAGAAGGGAGAGGGATAGAGAGTTAGAAACATCAATGAGAGAGAAACACCAATCAGCTGCCTCCTGCACACCCCCTAATGGGGATGTGCCCACAACTAAGGTACATGCCCTTGACCGGAATCGAACTTGGGACCTTTCAGTCCGCAGATTGACGCTCTATCCATGGAGCCAAAACCGGTTAGGGCAGGAAATGCTCTCAAGTTCTCGTTAAGTACCTGCTGAATCAATGGAAGGCATTAGTTTCTGCTTTCCAAAGAGGAATCTATGGCAGGAATACTAACTGATGTTAGTTTCCTTTCATAAGCCTGAGTTCTATTTTCTTGGTTGTAAGCACCCTTCCTTTTCATGATTCCCAAAGTAGGGCTCAACGTAGAGTGGAAGCCTCCTGTATTGGTCTATATCGGGAATTAGGGGATCTGAGTTTGAATTCAGTTCTCTCTTCTGTGTAACCTTGGGCAAAGCCCTGCATCTCCGTGGGTTCTCCATGTCCTCAATTGCGAGATGAAAGGCTTAGTCTAGATGGACGGTGTCAGGGAGTTGTGGAATATTCTGGAATTGTAGCCAGAATTTGGGCAGGTGCATATTTTGGAGAGATTGACAGCTTTCATGTGATTATCAGAGATCTGTGGCCCAGTGTGGTTGGGATGGAGCGAACCAGATCACCACTAATATTCTTTTTCTTTTCTTTTTTTTAATTTTTAAAAAAATATATTTTATTGATATTTTACAGAGAGGAGGAAGGGAGAGAGATAGAGAGCTAGAAACGTCGATGAGAGAGAAACATCGACCAGCTGCCTTTTGCACATCCCCAATCGGGGATGTGCCCGCAACCAATGTACATGCCCTTGACCAGAATCGAACCCGGGACCTTTCAGTCTGCAGACCGACGCTCTACCACTGAGCCAAACTGGTTTCGGCACCACTAATATTCTTTCCAGTTAAATTGTCTGTGATGTTGAGTGACCTCTGGTCATGTTATCTCCCAAGTCTTGCTCTTTGGCTCAGTCCCTCTCTGTCCCTTCACCCCATAGCCAGCTGACTTGGGTGGTGCACAGAGGGGCTGCAGGGAAATGGGAAGTGGGGGTGATCACGATGTAGTGTAATCAGAGGCCGCAGCCTGGGTGAAACAGTCTAATCTTCATGCCTGGTTTAGGCCCGATCCAGAATTAAGCCAACACTGTTAGACACAGACAGAGGCTTGGCCAGGCCTCCGGGGAAACAGCACGAGTAAGTATTTATCTCGGCTTCCCCAGTGGCAGCAACAGCAGCTGCCAAAACTCTGGTTCAACCACCACCTCTTTGAGTAGGAGATCTGCTGAGATAGCGTCAGGACAAGATGCATCTTGTTGGTACGTCATCAAGTCAAACGACCCAGGACTGCACCTGACACAGGTGTTATGCACCTCCAGGCCTCAGGCAGAACCCGTTTCCTTCTGAGATGGCAGTTGGGTTTGGGAGTTCATTGTTGTGCTTTCCCTTATCCCTCTATAATAACGCTCCCATGTTTGGTTATTTATCAGACATGTCCCCCTACAGATCATCTGCAATGGATTTCAGGTCCAATCTGGTTGGCTCCTCTTCCCCTCCCCCACAGGCAATGAACACCCCATAAACACACGCCTTTTAATATGAACTGAGCAGTACTCCTGGAAAAGGCAAGTCTCCCAAGTAAATACTGTCTTACAGAGTCAAAATGAAAAGGAAGTAGTTTTCCCTTTTCTATAAAGTATTATGAACATTAAATATCAAGCACCTTTAAAACCTTCCTATAGTTTGACCCAGTAAGCTTAAGCTTTGAAAATTTATCTTAAGAATCTTAAGTAAAGGGAAAGCATTATGCACAAAGATTTTCATGGCAACATTATTGTTTAAAAAATTAGAGAGAGAGAGAGAGAAAGCAAACAAGCAAGCAAGCAGCTTAATATCCTAGTATGGGAGAATGGCCAAGGAAATTATGATAAATCCATTTGATGAACTATTATGTAGCCATTAATAACTCCTTTCAAAAAATATTTTCCCAGAGGGTAAACATGGGGTGGGGAGGTTGGAGAAAGGGAAAATGCTGAGTTGTGAGGTAATAAATCAGGAGAGAAAGGTGCATTGATAGAGATAATGGACTGTG